TTCATATTATGACCGCAATAATTAGTATATATATTTCTACACTTTATACTAATTTATCGAATTTTACTATATGGTCCAACTCCCAAACTCGTATATCGATTTGTAAGAGAATCACATAATCATCAAATTAGTGATCAATTAATTCAATGCATTAAACTCATAGTAAAACCAACACATATAAAAATAAATCATAGAAATCTTGAATAGAAAAATAAATGATCACAAGTCGACTACAATGTTTGTCCTAATATGAAAATTAGTTACTCATAATGTAAAAATAAACACACAAAAAATTGTCTTTGAATACATCTCCAGATTATTTGAATAAATCTTCCTTGCAGCCGCGTTCGTGTATAAAGATATGTTTCACCAAAATTTGACGGAACGTGAATAATATCTAAATTTCTTGCACAATAATTGATGAATTATTTTACAAAAAATTGGAATTAATTCTTTCTCCCATCATGTCCATCCGTTTTCTGTGCACACATCATCTATCTTTAATTCCAGCAGCCGCCAAATTTGACTTCAACGAAAAAAAATCAATTTCTTCCTCCTCCTTTTCTCCTAGTATGCATGTATGTGTATTTAAGTCTCTGTTTTTTACTTCCTCTCTCTTTTCTCCCTTTTTTCTCTCTTCCCAGCCGTTGTTTTTCTTTCTCTTCTATACGTTTTCTTTTCCTCCCTTCTTTGCGCGCGCACTCGCGCGTGTGTATAAAGTTGCCTTTTTGCGTATATATATTCTCCTTCAAGTCATTCACTTTTCAAAGTATAAAATTTGATCTCCAAACTTTGCATCTAATAGCCAATATAGTCCCCATATTTTGGATTTTACCATTTTTCCCAATTTTACATTCTTTTCTTCAATTCTTTATCAAATATAAATTTTTACATACAAAATGTAATTTAACATAAATTAGGTAGAATTTTATCTAAATGACAATAAAATATCATCATTTAAGACCTCAAATATGAGGGGAAAGGCCACCAAAGAAGCCTATGAGATGGATCCGTCAAGGTCAAGGTTGATTGATGAGTTTAGTGGACAGAACGATCGATGTGAGGCCGACAAGAAGTGAGAGTGTGACTTCCCCCAAAAATAGAAAAATGGATCATAATCACTTTACCTTTAAAGTAAAAAAAATGGATCATATTCACTTTTATTAAAATTAAAAACAAATTAATCGAACAGTGCAGTAATTGACCTTCCAACTCAACTACCTCAAGGAGCTAGCCTAGTCGTTGACTGTGCAAACTTAGATTTAAATATTGTTCATGGTGGTTGATGGGAGTTAGTTACATTTTCGACCACTATGTATCTCAGTTCCATCTCAATATTCATACATTCATTTAACATACATGGTACATTTGGAAAGATGGACAACTCTCAATTAGACTGTATTACTAAATCCAAGTAAATAAAGTTAATGCTTCATGTCCCAGTGCAATGATGCAAGAGCAAACTTGACATGACATTTGTACCAAAAGAAAATGTCATCAATGCCCATGCGATGATATGCCATGAACCACCATAATACATACAGAAATTGGAAGAATACTGGGTTACGGTAGGGCCCACCTCTTCCCCACTGTTTTCATCATTTTTTGGGCATCGCGAACAAGTCCAACAAACAAAAAGCGGCCATGGCTTCTTCGATTGGCAAAAACAGACGATCCTTTTTATCTCTATAAAATTCTCTCTCTCTACAAATGTTTTCTTAGAGCAGTGTTTTGTTTTTCGTCCTATTATTTTTCACCGAATCTTCCATTTCCTTCACAGCTCTCTTGATCTTCGAGTCCTTTGCTCACGGGACAACATCTAACACTCTATCCATCTGGTAAATCTCGAGTTTTTATTTTTATTTTTCTGAAAAATATTAAAAGAAATATTACATGCTTTAAAGTTTACTCCGCAGGAGTAAATCGTTTTTCTTTTTTTGACAGACCCATATAAGAAATTTAAAGAAAAAAGCGAAAAAAATTGTTGGGGAAGTGTGGGCGAGGTCTTGATCATGGCGGTGGAAGAGAATCCTGGAATTAGCGCAACGACGTCATCAAATCGGCGCTACCCGAATGCCCAGCCAGAGAATACCTCTGTGAATCATAACCACCCGCAGTTCTCGAACACCGCTGCTAATCAGAAGTCAACGAAACCCACAGATAATGATTATCATCTGATACAGTACAACGGCCATCATCATCCGCAGCATAGAACAAACGGTGATGGAGCCTCGAAAGCTCTTCTTAGCACTAATCCGGTTGAGAGGAAAATGAATAGTGGAGATGATGGAGACGACGAGTTTAAGAGGGAGATGAGGGATTTAGCGGAAATGCTATCTAAATTGAATCCCATGGCTGAGGAATTTGTGCCGCCATCACTGGCTGTGAACGGCATCGGTGGCCACCACAGATTGATGATAGCCTCACCACATTATGCGGCCGCTGGGTTCTTCGGTTATAATGCTAACGGTTTTGTAATGCAGCAGCCTGTTAACTCAGGAGTTCCCAACGAGAATTCTTTTAGAAGGGTTGGTATTTTATCTCTGTGTGTGTGTGTGTGTGTGTATATATATATATACATACTCTTTTTACAGTTTTTCACAGTAAAATTTCTAGCATATGGATTATTGTAGATTATGTAAGATACTATGCGGAAATATAAAGAATGGAATGAAGAATATTTGATATAAGATAGCAGTAATTTTGGATTGTTGAGGTTCATTTTGTTTCGTTAAACAAAGATCAGTAATTCGGGTATTTATTTTTTCTTTTCTTTTAAAGCAACTATATTCCCAGTTAAATTNACAAATCAGTAATTCGTGTATTTATTTTTTCTTTTGTTTTATAGCAACTATATTCCCAGTTAAATTATTTTATCATGTAGTTTTGTTATTAAAATTTGTAATATGATTGAAGTACGGTGTCTGATTTGTTGATTGAGCTTGTATAGTATTTGATATACAGAAGAAAAATGGCTATGGCCATGCCAAGCAGAGGATTAATAGCAGAACAAGCATGGCGCAGAGAGAAGATGTAATCAGGAGGACAGTTTATGTTTCTGACATCGATCATCAGGTAAATAGAGTATAGGATGTGCAGGCTTGTGTTATTTTAGATACTCAAATTCTTTCCGTTAAGGCAGACGCTATCAAACTTTGTTTATCTTTTCCTTATGAATATAGGTTACTGAAGAGCAACTTGCTGCATTATTCATTAATTGTGGGCAGGTAAAATGCGTCACTATTCCATCTCAGTGATAGACTTAATTTACAAATTAGTTATATTTTCTAAATATATTTCCCACACTAATCATGCTGAAGGTTGTGGATTGTCGTATTTGTGGGGATCCTAATTCTGTACTTTGTTTTGCCTTCGTTGAATTCACTGATCAAGGTATGTCAATGACCTGTTTGTTTGGTTGTGCAATTTGGTGAAAACCTGAGATCATATTTTATTGCATTGTGTCTCAAATGGCTTACAGAAGGGGCAAGGAATGCTTTGAGTTTGGCAGGAACTATGTTGGGATATTATCCAGTGAGAGTGCTGCCTTCAAAAACTGCAATTGCACCTGTTAATCCAACATTCTTGCCAAGGGTGAGAAACTTGTGGCAATCTTTAATTACTTTGGACACGTGTTATAACTTGAATCAGTTAAAGGAATAGAAAACTAATGCCTGTTTTCTTTTCTCTGACACTAGTCTGAGGATGAAAGAGAGATGTGTGCAAGAACTATCTATTGTACAAACATCGATAAGAAGGTAGCTCTAAATTCACAAGATTTTTGCCATGTGTCAATTGTGTCGCACTTGCATGATTGTTTGTTTGCTTGATGCAGCTTACGCGAGAGGATGTCAAACTCTTCTTTGAATCTATTTGTGGAGAGGTTTGTAGCTGCTCATTTAATAAGTCTTGATAAATGTTTTTTGCAATAGGCAAATTCCATTTGATTAAATGCATTCTCTAACCCAGGTTTACCGCTTGAGATTGCTTGGTGACTATCAGCATTCAACTCGTATAGCTTTTATAGAGTTTGTAATGGTAAGAACCATGAGCTTCTCACTCATTTATGCTTGTTACAAATGAAGTCACCCCAAAGTTAGTATTATTGTACTAGTTTTTTATGCTACTTTTGGAAAATGAACGATTCAGAAATTTGTCTTTCTAACTGAAGTTTAATATATAGAGTCTTTGTGTTGATCTGAGTACTCTAGTTCTGATCTTACGCAATCACTTTCTCATTGTGAAAGTTCACATTTCAATATGCATTGTGCTAATTTTAGTACATGTATACCTAGGTTTTGGGAGCTCATTTTGATATCGCAAAATGTACTATTTATTTATTGGTGTAAAGAAATGGATTTTCTTTTATGTAGGACAATCTTACACCAAATAGGATTTCTTATTTTAGTAGAATTTAGTTCTATTTCTTTCTTGTTTAGAATAAGGCTTTTTACTCATTTAGGATTTTAGTTACTTATTTCCCTTGAGCTATTAGAATTAGGATATTACTTTCGTTTATATAAACAAAGGCATATTACAATTTTTAGACATCAATTCAATACAATAAAATTATTATTTCATAAAGTTTTGAGTTTCAAAATTTCTTCATATTTCAAGAAATAATTTCATTTTCGTACCAAAATTGGTATCAAAGCAATTTTTTTTTTTAATCTAAGCAGATGACTTAGGCTATTAGTAATAGAGCCCTAGCCGTTGACGACGAATGGAGGTTCGAAAAACCAAGAACCAACCTACTGGACTTAAAAAACTCTTCAAGATGTTAAGAATAACTTAGCTGCCCTCTTAATTGATTTTAGACGCAAAACTAAAGGAAAACCGCCAGCTCTGTTTGGTGACCATCCTTACCATGGGGACTTAGAACTTAATAATGTGCCATCGGTTGAAGAGCAACAACTAGAAGATGACCTCAAACTTGCAATGCGAAACTCTGGACAGAAGGAAACTACCTTAAGGTTCAACCCATCGTCAATCAACAAGAACAATGAAAACCTGTTGCCAGTTGAGGAGCATAACACCCACCGAGAGATTACCATGCTCTCGACCCTTAACATAGGGGGATGGGTGCAATGATCCACCACCCATGACTCAGACACATTATCCTAACTTGTGACATAACTGAAGCGAGTGACCCCATCGGAAGTCGTGATGGGGACTACCTAGGAGCCATTGCCTCACATTTTTGTGCTTATGGAAGAAAAGGGTACCATCAATGCGAAAGAGACTCTAAGTTCGATTTTTCTTTCGAGGATGGATGTGATAATTACAAATTGGACTTCCAAGTATATGAACCCTATCAATTTTCCCCCAAACTTATAGTCAAGGTCAAATTAGGCAATTTAAAAGGAGGATGGATTTACCCACCTTCGATGGCCGACTACTCATTGAAGATTTTCTCGATTGGATTAATAATGCCGACAATTTCTTTGATTATTTGGAAATTCCCAAAGACCTCCACATTAAACTTCTGGAGTACAAATTACAAATAGAAGAAAAGTTGAGATCAAATAATGCAATTGTGGAGGATAACGATGTTAATCAAGTATGTCGAGACATGAATATTTCTTCATTATGCAATGTTTGTTGGATTCTTGACTATTTTCCTCTTGATAGATTACTAATTTTCAGCCAACACTCGAGGTTTGATTTCTTGAAGTGAGGGAGAATGATGTAGGACTATCCTGCACCAAATAAAAATTCATATCGTAGTAGAATCTAATTATATTTCTTTCTTGTTTAGAATTAGACTCTTTACTCTTTTAGGATTTTACTTGCTTATTTTCCTTAAGCTAATAGGATTAGGATATTATTTTTGCTGTATAAACAAAGACATTGTACAGTTTTTAGACAATCAATTCAATAAAATAAAATGATTCTCTTGCAAAATTTCGAATTTCAAATTTTCTTCTTATTTGAAGAAATAATTCTCGTTTCCGCACCATTCTTTTACGTATTTGTGTGCCTTCAGACCCTACACCTAACGAATCATATCTACACTATACTTTAGGCACAATTTCATTTATCTGTCCCTTATGTATTGCCTCTAATATAAGTTCAACCATCCAGATCCACTGACAAATTTCTTTTTTTATTTCTACTTCCGCGATTATATGAAACATAATCGGTAATTTCTTGCTTCAGCTGATTGTCTTCATCTCCTTCAAGAACTTAATCTTTTTGTTCTTACATATTCTTTGCCGTCTTTTGATTTGCCTCTATTTGTTGTGCAAGTGAGAATTGCTAATTTGAAGTTAGCCATTCTTGCCTGGAGAAGTGAAGTTTTACTTTTTGGTAATGTTACTAAGACATTTACCATACAGTTATTCTTTCAGGCACTAGTTACGTTAATAGACATATTTCCACTTTTCTGATTTCAAGTAAAAAAATAATTTCTTGGCATATCTAACCTTTTGACTACCTGGCATCATTATTTTATCACTTAATTTATATAACTTATGTTCCGAAGTTTTAGTTTGGTAGTTCTACTTTTTACTCATTGGAAGTATTTAATTTGTTTAATTCAGTCCTTGGTATCGTAGTGCGAACAAACACCTTAAAGCATTCACCACATTCACCCTATTGCATTCACCTTAAAGATCGTTTTGGACAACATTGATTGGTTTCCAAAGGAGTTTTGCAGATGTATCTAACTATATCTATTTTAATCCTAGCTTCTGTTTTAAGGACGTGCTCTTCACTTTGCACTTCTCTTTTTCTGTAATAGAAGTTTTTTCTTTTTAGATAAAAGAAATGGCTTATGTGCGGATAGGGCTGTAAATGGATCGGATATGGATCGGATCTATCTATATCTGATCCGATCCAATAAGAAAATTATCCGATCCAATCCAATTTGCTATGTTATCGGATATCCGATCCGATAATCCGATTCGAAATTAATAAAAATTAGGAAAAAAATCAATATTGAAAAATTTTTGAACTAACTTAAGGCTCACCTGTTTTTACTCTTCTACCATCATGATATTCCCTTTTAAATGAGATATACATTTTCTGTAGACATTCGATGTGGGATAAAGTAAAATTGAATTTCAATTTTAAATATAAATATCTTTTATTTCATTATTT